GCACAGAGGTTGAGTGACTTGCCAGTCACACAGCTAAGAAGTTGTAGGGTCAGGATTCAAACCTTAGCAATCAGCCTCTGTTATACTATGTTGCCCCTCTCTTTTCATTTTAACGTGAAGGGGCTCAATTTTCTCATCTCAAAAGAAGTTGGCTTGGTCCTAAACGGTAGGAACTCTGCACAGCTCACTGGAAAGCGTGTAACTATATGTACAGATAAAGCCTTTGGTCTGTTAAAGGATTAAAAGCACCTCAGTTAATACAATTGTATAATTTTGTGGAGTAGGTCTGAATGCAAAGGTAGTAGATTTCATGATGGTCATGGGGTGTGTTATTAGCTATATATTTTTATTGTATCTGAACTAATGATGGGATGAAATAATCCTTAAAAAAATTTTCTTTTACCATCTATTAACTGTTGAAAAGTCCATCATGGGATCTTTTAGCAGCACAGGACTAAAAAGCTAAAATAATCTCAAAGACTGCCTTTCTTTAAATGAAACCAGTAAAATAGTTATCATGTTGGGTAATGTTTCAAATGTTTCCCAGAACCCTCATAATCCACAATTTTTAAATGACAAACTTTAAACTAGCTCATGTATTTCAGAAAAAAAAAAAAAGAAACCATGTGATTTTTCAATTAATGTAATGTATTCATGTATTCATGTAATAAATACCAATTAAATACCTACTATGTGCCAGGATTTGTGCTAGGCACTAGGTAATAATATTTATCATTTACTGGACTTTGATGTTGGTGTTTTTCTTCTCATTTTACTGATGAAGACATGGCAAAGTTAAGCATTTTGGGGGCAGATCTTAAGTTGCACAGTGGCAAAGCAGTATTTCAATCGTCACCAATTTGACTCCAAAACTGGGTGCACTGCATTAACTTTAGTAATTTGGATTACAGATGGATACTTTATTTTACTAAATGATTACTATAGTAAATAGTGAGTTTTCATAGGACTCTTTATATTGAATTTTTCTTACAATGTTCAAGAATATATCTACCAATGAAAACCATACCCCACAGGGCAGAGCTCATTAAATGTTGATGAATGAATGCAGCTTAAATAGATTAGTTTTGGGTTACACATGACTACAGTAAAGTTCCCTAGTTTACTCTTTAAGCTTCACATTGCCAGGAAAAGTACTTCATCTTAGAACCATTGTGAGGAATAAATGAGATCATCTATTAAAACATCTAGCACTCAGTAAAAACAGTTTAAAAAAAAGCAATATTATAATCATGAAATTATATGTTTAGGCCATAAACTGGGATTCTAGTTGGACAGATCTAAGAATTATGAGGTAAGAAGAATTATTAGGACCACTGGGGCAAGTAGGAGAAAGGAGTCATTGATATGAGATTATAGGCTTCATCTTTGTTGAAAAATGTGTGATTAAAGACAAGAATGGGGAAATTAGGCAGGAATATGGGACTGAGGTTGCAAAACTTTTCATCCTGAGGGAGGTATTCTGAGGAGAAACAAAGATATAGGATTGGGAGAGGCAAAGCAGATAGATATTAGTTGAGTGAATATATGAAAGGATGGATGAATTAATGCATGGACAAATCAACAAATTAACTCAAAATATTCATTGAGTGTCAGGTAGTACAAATTTATTGCTCAGTGGGAGGAGGTCCATGGTGGTGGCTTCAGAATTCCTATAAAAGACAAGCTTGGGAGTAGCAATCTGGCTGGAAGGGTGTCTGGAGAAGGGTCTAGGTGGTGAATAAGATTTGTCTAGACTTTATAATCTCTTAGTACTTTAGATCAGAAAATACTAAAGAACAGGGAAGGGGCCCTGATTGAGATAATGGCTGGAACTAATTTCCCTCAGGCTAACCCTCAACTCTGCCGCTGCAGATGCATAAAACCAAATCAGTGGGCTACTCACTTTAACAGGTCTATGTACAAAGCGCTATGTCAGCATGGAGGCAAAAACATTTAATTCTCCATTGGGATAGAGTAGATGAGGGAAGGATTTCATTAAAAGGTGTGATTTTAGTTGACTCATTTATCACACTTGAAAAATTGACTTAATATTCTAAACACAAGGAACAACATAGACCTTCAAAGACATAGAAAAGTTAAGAGATCCTGGCAGACTGTTCAGAACCTGGCTGAAGTGGGGAGTCAGGCTGGAGGTGAAGCAGTGGCCCAATAATAATAGGCTTGCATGTTATGCCAAGAGTTTTGAAATTCATCCTGATTGATGGGAACTGCTAAAGAATCTCAGGCATGGGAGTGACAATGATAAAATATTACATAACATTTTAGGAAGATCACTGTTCTACACATTTGAAAGAGGAGCAAGATGACCACCCCAACCTCTTCTTTATAAATGAGAAATTAGAAAAAAAAATGAATAGAACAAAGGCCCTATACACAAGGAATTTACATTCCAGTGGGGAGAGGCAGACAATAAAAAATAGATATACAATGTAATATCATTGTGATAAGTGCTAGAAAGAAGAGTAAAGACGGGTAAGGCACACAAGGATTGAGTGGAGGTACTTGTCTAAAGGCAAACAATGTTCTTTCCACCTATTTCGTAGCCACCATAAAAAATAATAGGGTTTCAAGAGCCTCTCTCACTTTCCAACACAACAGCTCCACTATACTGAAATCTCAATGTTGCAAACTTGTCCATGTATTTCATTCATTGTCTAATAACCTCTTTACCTTCTTAAGTATTGTCTTGCCAAAGTCCAGAAAATGAGGAGCAAATTCCCCTCCGAAGGTTAAAGAACTTGTTATCAGGCTGAACTGAAAAGCTGTGTCTACCATTACTTCTACAGTGTCTCTACACCTCATCCAGACACAGCTTTTCACCATTTCTTGAGTCTTTAATTTCCAGAGGTAGGCTCTGGAAAAACAAAAACAAAAACTTGTAGGTCTCCTTCCCTCTCTTCCTTCATCTTTTTATTTGATACATGTTCTGTGTTGAGTGCTTGGTTTCGCAGACATTTTGCTAGATGTAGGTAACACAGAGGTGGGCAAACCACAGCCTGAATTCTGGAACTGTGTGGATAAGCAGTTGTACTGTGTGTGGATAAGTAGAGGCTCAAGCCAGGTGCCTGGAACCTGTGAGGCCAGAGTGGAAGGACCAGTTGCTGTTGGGCCTTAAATGCCTGGTTTAAAGTTGATACAATTCTGTGTGCTATGGAAAGTGCTCAGAGGTCTATAAAAAGGTAAGAATTGACTTTCATTAAGGGTATACTGTATTATTTCATTAAGGGTATACTGTATGTATTATTTTCTTCTGACAATTTCAAAGGACTTTTACAGGCCATTTTGGAGGGGATTATTCAGCGTTCCTGTTCACTTTGTTGTCTTCACTCAGTCATGCACATTAGATACTGAAAAAAACATAACAGCATCATTTTGGTTCTAACACTTTCGTTATCGCTCGCTTGCTTTACTTGTCATTTGCCACGAACTTCATTAGCACCGCGGGTTAGGCCCACGGGTGGCAAATGCATTTTGAGAGGTGCAAGGTTTTATCTGCCTAGATGTCCAGTGCCCTCCAATCTAATTGGACAAGATTCAATCTGTATCTTACCGTATTAACCATAATCAGATTTTCATAGAGTAAATAGTTATCGCAATCATTGTTATGAATTAAGTCACACATATACAACTGATGGAAAACTTGTTCCCTGTGAGTACTCAATTTCCAATTCGTTCAAAACACCAGAAATTTTATACAAATCTTTTCGTGTATTTTCTGCATTAAAGTTCTCAGAAAAACAAACAACAACAAAACCCAGAAACAAAAATAAAACGGGTGTACTCTAGTTTCTCCAAGTGTTAACTGTTAGCCAAGTCCCACCCTTCAACACCTGAGGCCAATTAAAAGAATGCAGATCCTAAATCTACGGAATCACAATGTCTAAGGGCGGGGCCCAGAAGCCAGCAGTTTAATCATGAATATCCCCAGGTCATTGTTATGTATACTTAGAACTTGAGAGCCTCTGGACTCTACAAACATTTTTCAGTTAGCTTTCACCTGAACCTGAAGTAGGTACTATTATCATTCCCATTTTACAGAGGAGGAAGTTGAGGCATAAAAAGGTTGACTAACTTGCTAAGGTCACACGGAACTAGGGTTGGAATCTAGACCAATCTAAACGCAGCTCTTAAACATCACAGTACAGTTATCTCCTGTTGCTAAATGATTTGTTGCTAATACTTCAAGAAGTACTGGACTTGCAGTTTGAAGACGCACTAAATTTAGTCTGGTAAACTTGGGCGATTCACTTACATTTTGAATTTCAAGTCCCTCGCGGGTTAAATACGGGCCAAAACACCCCCACCTGCAAGGTGACCTGAGGGGCAAGGTGGGGCAGCAGGCAGGGAAGGGAGGCGATCGATGACTCCGGCGCGCCGCTGCCTGTTGGATTGGCTCGAGCCT